TCCTCGCGGCGGCACGCCGCCCGCCCATTGGCCGCCCGCCGGAAGGCCCCGCCCCCGCCGCTCGCTCCCATTGGATGCCGCCGCCCGCCGCCGTCCTCCGCTCCCCTCCCTACCCCGCCCCGCCCACAGCTGGGAGGGGGCAGGGCCAGAGTGGAGGGGCGGGGCCTAGAGGGAGGAACCGCCTCTTAAAGGGACCGCGACCACCCCGATGAAGCCCCCCCCTCCCGCAAAGGATCGGGGCAGTCCGTCGGGTGCTTCAGCTTCTCTTTATTGATGGAGAGTTGTGCTCTGCCGCCCCAGGGGCCCGGGGAGTGAGGGGCGGGGGGGGGATCGGGGAAGAGGCACCAGGGACACACACGACTACCAGAAGTGGGGGAGCAGGGGAAGCCGGGAGCACGATGGCGGTGGAGCATCTTCTACCCCCACCCCTGGACACACAACCAGCCTGGAGGGTCTGGAGTCACCTTGGATTTGGTCTGCGGGGAGGCGTGGGGGAGTAGCAGCTTCCCTGGAGTGAGGAGGGTGACGGGGGGGACAACCACACACCCCCTCTCCCTGCCCCGTCACCCCGGGACAGGACACACGTCACACCCTGAGGACAGTCACTACCGGCTACCAGGAACCTCCTACGTGGGGGGACAGGACTCCACTACGGGGAGAGGGTTGTGGTTTTTTTTTTTAAAAAAACTAAACGCTTTCAAGTATTGGTTTTCTTTTTAGTGATTTAAGGTCTCTTCCCCCTGCTGCTGCTGCTGCCGCCGCACTGGGTGGTGTTGAGCAACCTACATCCACGCTAGGGACAAGGAGGACATCGCAAGCCATGGCTGGTCTAAGGCGAGGGGAGCGAGGGGAGGGGGGAAGGAAGGTGGTGGTCGCTGGTGGGTGGCGGGCCCTTCAGGGAACGGGCACCACGCGCATGGTGTTGGTGTAGCCGGAGCCGGGGCGCCAGCCCGTCAGCACGATCACCAGGTCCCCGCTCTTGAAGAACCCACGGGCTTTGCCTGGGAGAGAAGAGAGAGGTGTCAGAGCGGGCCAGAGTGGAGGGGCGGGGCCTAGAGGGAGGAACCGCCTCTTAAAGGGACCGCGACCACCCCGATGAAGCCCCCCCCTCCCGCAAAGGATCGGGGCAGTCCGTCGGGTGCTTCAGCTTCTCTTTATTGATGGAGAGTTGTGCTCTGCCGCCCCAGGGGCCCGGGGAGTGAGGGGCGGGGGAGGGATCGGGGAAGAGGCACCAGGGACACACACGACTACCAGAAGTGGGGGAGCAGGGGAAGCCGGGAGCACGATGGCGGTGGAGCATCTTCTACCCCCACCCCTGGACACACAACCAGCCTGGAGGGTCTGGAGTCACCTTGGATTTGGTCTGCGGGGAGGCGTGGGGGAGTAGCAGCTTCCCTGGAGTGAGGAGGGTGACGGGGGGGACAACCACACACCCCCTCTCCCTGCCCCGTCACCCCGGGACAGGACACACGTCACACCCTGAGGACAGTCACTACCGGCTACCAGGAACCTCCTACGTGGGGGGACAGGACTCCACTACGGGGAGAGGGTTGTGGTTTTTTTTTTTAAAAAAACTAAACGCTTTCAAGTATTGGTTTTCTTTTTAGTGATTTAAGGTCTCTTCCCCCTGCTGCTGCTGCTGCCGCGCTGGGTGGTGTTGAGCAACCTACATCCACGCTAGGGACAAGGAGGACATCGCAAGCCATGGCTGGTCTAAGGCGAGGGGAGCGAGGGGAGGGGGGAAGGAAGGTGGTGGTCGCTGGTGGGCGGCGGGCCCTTCAGGGAACGGGCACCACGCGCATGGTGTTGGTGTAGCCGGAGCCGGGGCGCCAGCCCGTCAGCACGATCACCAGGTCCCCGCTCTTGAAGAACCCACGGGCTTTGCCTGGGAGAGAAGAGAGAGGTGTCAGAGCAGGGGTTCCCCGGCCGTAGGTGGGGACAGGGCTTGTCACCCACTCCCTGTGTCACTGAGGTGGAGGGGGACCCGTCCCACAGCAGCAGGTTGAGTATCAGGACCCCATCCCTGCTACCCACCCATCTTGGACCCTTGGCCTCTGCTGGCACATGGAGCTTGAAATCAGAAGCCATGGGGGGCTTGGGGGAGCCATGGGGGGCTTGGAGTCACCCCACTCCCAGCTTCTCCCATCCCCCAGGAGCAATGACCCTCCCAGTTCTAGCACTTCTCATGTTAAAACCAACCTGGTTTTCTGCTGGAACCTACTTTAAGGCCACCATGCCAAACCCCCTCTCCCATTTCCCCACCGGATGTGGCCGTGCTTACACAACTGCCATCCCTTGTTTCCCAACCGGACACCGTTACCACACAGGCAGGCGGTTCCCCTCCCTGCGTCCCCACGGGTAACCCCAAAAGCACCACCTGAGGTGCTCAGGGACCACCACGTCCCACCAGAGCAGTGACACTCACCGACATTCATGCCCAGGTTCACGCGAAGGTCCACATCCTCCGCCCAGGCGTCGTGGGCCGGTTCTTTGCAGAGGACGGGGAAGATGCCCCGGTAGAGGTGGGCCTGGCGAGCCGTCTGGTCGTTACGGGTCACGGCGATGATGGGAGCCCGCGGGCGGTACCGGGACACCAGGTGTGCTGACCTAGAAGGGAACCAGGACGGAGGTGAAGCACCACGCGCACAGCTACAGGGAGCACAAGTGACACCGAGGTTTATTTGTCACCCTGAAGGGCTCCACAACGCGCACAGCTACAGGGAGCACAAGTGACACCGAGATTTGTCACCCCGAAGGGCTCCACGAAACCCCTGGAGGGACACAGAGGGTGACCACAAGAGCCAAGCTCACCCAGGAGCTCCATGTTCTGCTGAATTCCCCGTTGGGCCATCACCAAAGGCTGTCCCTTGGTGATGGTCCCTGCTCCAGTCTCGCCGTGACAATCCCCTTGCCTCCCAGTCTAGGAAGTGCCATCTGCGTGTTTTGGTGCCGAAAACAAGCCTTTATTTGTCCCTGTTGCTATGCTGAGGTGGCGAGGTGCCATGGATGCTGGCCTCTGCAAGCAGCCCTCGGCACCTCAATGGGGGTCCCTGCCAGTTCCCGCTGTTTGGAGGAGCTCCCAGGTTTATGGGATGGAAAGGGCTACACAAAGCTTGCCAAGGAGGAAGCCATTTGCCTCCCGGCCACGTTCACCCGCCGAAGGCAGCAAACGGGCCGGTTCCTCCACACTGAGCTCTGCTCTGGTGCTCAAGAGGAAGCAAACTCAACCCAGGCCAAAATTTATACCAGGAAGTTGGGCACAGAGACCTTAAAACAGGCAGCAACACACCCTGGGTGGGGACCAGGGCTTCCCTTTCCCCCAGGGCACTGCTCACAGGGAGCACCTGTGAATAAACGGAGATGGAAACGGCAAGGCCATGGCATTTACAGCTCCACGAGCGTGGTGGTATCTCCACTAGCTTTTGCAGCCTTGTTGAGAGGAGCTAAGCTCAGCGACGCTGCTCAAAGCGGCAGTAGCGTTTGCTCGAAGCACCCAGACACACGTGCCAGCTCTCAGACAAATCCTGCCACGCTGCCCAAGCAGCCTCCCGGGAGCTGCTCTGGGAGATCCAGGTACTCAAAAGGCCGTAACAGAATCCACAGCTAAAAATATTCAAATATCAGAGTTCAAATCTCTTTTAAAAAGGTCAAGTGTGAAGCTGGAACCTTTGGCAAAGAAACATTAGAAGCACGAGGGTATCCAGAAACTCCGCACTTAAGAATCACTCCTCGTCTCTGCAGAAAGTGGCTGCTCCCAATCACTTTGAGCTGTAAATCTGGGTGAAGGATTCACCGATGGTCCAGATCTTCAGGTAGACCCTGCCCAGCACATATAACGGCATCTCTGCTGCTGCGCTATTTTTGTGCTCTGAATCCAGTGCAAGAAATTCAGATTTTTTTTTTTCTTCCAGAATGCAGTCTGAGACTTATGGCCAGACACGCTTGGAGGGTGGGCAGCCCAGTTCCTCTAGACAGAAAGGCTGATCAGCAGAGGCTTCAGCTTCCTCTCCACAACTGGAAGAGCGAGTTTCTGCTCGGCAGTTGTCATGGTCACTGGACAGCAATCCCAAACTATGGAGTTCCAGCGCGTCTGCGTTTCTGTCTCCCACCTGCAGCCGAGGCACTGAGCCCATGGAGAGCTGCTGGGTGCCTGCCAGTGCCTGCCTCTCCAGAGAGATTACTCACGGGCAGGCATGAGGGAGGCTGGAAGAGGAAATTTCCAACATTTCCAGTTTTCCTGCCTAACAATTCCAGGCTAAGCCATCCCTCTTCACCCCTTGGGCTTTGGCAAGCAGGGCTGACACCCCAAAGGTTCAGCAAGGGACCTGTAGTTTGGATGCTACTATGAAAGGGCCAAATCCTCTATTTAAAAAAAAAAAAAAAACAACAACAAAAAAAACATTCTGCATCCACTGAGCTTCTGCCTTACTGTTAAACCAAGGATTTCTTGCCAAGAAGTTGGAATCGAAGCTGCAAGAATTATTTTCCCTTGACTCTTCCAGCCAGTGCTGCTGGCAGTGCCACTCGGAGCAGCATGGGGAGGCAGGGCTGGGAGAACTGGTGCCACCAGCAGAGGAACTCGGAGGCTACTGATGTGCAGATGTTTGAGATGTCTGCCCATCTCCTGAGGAACCGACACCGCAGGCAGGTGGCCTGGGCTCTCCGTCGCTGCCAAAACCCAGGCTTCACCGTTACAGACTTTCAAAGCCATCGTTCTGCTGGGCTCCTTCCCCTACCCTGTGAAGAAGTGGGTTTGACCTGAGGGAACCTGTCACCTCCTACCTTCCAGACTTGGTGAGGACAATAATGGCCCCGCTGCAGCACTTGAAGGACGCTTCCACAGCGCCAACAGCAGCGGCCTCGGTGGGGTCACAGTTCAGGGAAGTCAGACGCCGCAGTTCCTCAAACAACTGCCTGTGAAAGATGGCGGCTTCGGCCTCCCGGGCAATCTATAAGAGCAACACGCGTTCGGGGAGACAACACTCACGTCAGTCGCTCGGGGCAGCGCAGGGGAAGGCGAGGTGCTCTCTCCAGGTGTCACACCAATACCCTCAAAGCTTTCGAGTTACCATTTAGCAACCCCAGATTTAATTCAACGTGCTGGAGCGATGGCCACAGCGCTGAGCGCACCTTAGAGAGCAACCACTCTGCTCTTGAGGGGTTTTATTTCTAAATTGGTGGCACCTCCCGAGTCACCTCGCCCTGCCGAGCCCCCACTCGGGTGACACTCATGCCGACTGCCAGGCACTCTCGCTCTGCTCCTGCCTCCCTGCAGTCCCTCCCTGCCACGGGACCGCAGCGGTTATGCCAGGCTGACACCGCAGCAGCGAGCCGCTCGCTAGACGTTTGCAGTGTTAGAGAGAAGGGAGCGTGTTTTCACTCGTGGAAATGACGGGCACTGAGCCCCTTCCCTGAGCCCTACCTGCCAGACTCGGTCAGAACTATCAGGGCTGGAGCTAAGCACTTAAAAGAGGCCTCCACCGCGCCCGCTGCCATGGCATCGGCAGGGTCCCTGTTGTTAACATTGAGGCGTAAAATCTCTTCGAAGAGCTGACGGTGAAACATTGCGGCCTCAGCCTCCCGAGCAATCTGCAGGCCCCAGCGAGAGGGAAGGAGGAGAAAAGAGGTAAGAAAAAGAAGGAAAGATATACCAGAGTCACATGAGGTCACGTTAATTTGCTTCATTGTCACAGTAACGCATGCAAGAGGGTATTAAAGGTCAGGCTGTGAAACTCTTTTTGGCTCTCAGGTTGTGTGTTTGCTCAATGCAGCCTGGTCTAACGTGCCATCAGCAGACCCTGGTCCCTGGGCAGCATTTCAGAGGTGACATTCTCACTATATTTTGGAGGCCTTTCAGAGCAGGCAAATGTAGGTTCCTTTTACAGGGACCAGAGCAAGCCAGCTCAGAGTTGGGTCGCAATTTGTTGTGGCAGCTCGTTAGTTCCTTGCAAGAATGATGCAATCTACTAGCCTCCAGTGGACCTTGCTGATGGTCCTGCTGCAATTCCTCAAGAAGAAATTTCTGTAGCTCCATGTCCCCCTCTTTGTACTCCCCAACACAGCTCCCCTGGAATGGTCTTCGTGGAGCCAACATGCAAACAATGCACTTTCAACATCACCCCTGAAGCCAGGGGACTGTCCCTCTCAGCTTCATTACACTTAGTTTAACCTGAGAGCCAACAAAGTTTCACCTCCAAGTTCTAAACCAACTTCCCTTTCAGTAACAGAAAAAACAAGTAGGAACAAGTCTTCCTTATGGGGTTTGTCAACGGATGTGTGTCGAGGTGTTTGTAAAGCACCAGATGAGAGGTGCAGAGGCACAACTGAGGGCCTTCTGTTCAGGCTGAGCATTTACAGGCAGTTCAATGATCTATTCATCCCAGAATGCTGGGAATCACTCACATTTCAAGACAATTCTCATCTCAGAAGACTGCGTTAGCCCTTGACTACCCCACAAAGAAGGCTTGCAGAGACCAGAAAAGCATGCAAAAGGTTGTATCGTCTTTTCAAGGACAACTTCATCCAGTTACTCCAGAAAGTGAGCAGCCGCTCCACAGAGTGTGACAAGTGGGTGCTTAAGCGGAGACTGAAGTGCCCTTACAGTGAAAGCTTCGGAGTTACACACCTTCCAGATGAGAATTTTGCTACTCTAATGTTAATGAATTATTTTATGTGATGCTAGGAATTATCCCTCTTCCACAGATACCCCTTTAAGCCAAAGTAGTTAAGTATCTTATGTCTAAAAATAACGGGACATATGTGACAGGCCGGAAGAGCGATCCAGTGCCAACTGCGGTCCTTTTATTACTCCTGGCTTTATGCTTGCCCTGAGATAAAATGGAGTGTTTGCCTCAAAACACTTACTCCAAACACAAGAGCTGGCAGCCAGGCAGTTTATCTCCAGCTCCTGGTCCAAAGGCAGGCAGCTCTGTGTAAAGCACAGGGTGAACCCCCCTTTAGAAGGGAGCCCACATTCCCCAGGTGCAGGAGAACCTGTGCACAGGGGTGTCTGCTGTGACAGCGGCTGCAGAGGGCACAGCCATTCTCAACCCCGTGTCACAGCTGGTTTTAGTCCCAGAGAAACAGCCAGAGGGTTTCCCGTTGGCAGGCAGGAGGAGACAGCAGGGTGAGGTGGGAAGGAAGGAAACCAGAGCAGGTATTTGAACCTCAGTCCTGTTACTCAGCATGGCCAGGGCAGCGTTCGAAGGAAACTGTGGGTCATGGACTGGAATTGGAAAAGAGCCCACTCCCACAAGCAGGAAATGGCTTGCCCAATATTGGGAAGCTTGCGACATGTGGCATTTTTGTCACAGAGATGCCAGTTACTGGAGAGCACGCTGGTTTCTAGGAGGCTGGCCGGAAAGGGATCCCTAAGCCAAACCACCACTGGGACAGGTCAGGCACAGACAGATCGTGTCTTTCTGAGGTGCAAGGACACTACACGGCCCAGACCCTCATCATTCTCAGCATCAGTTTGCTGTCTGCACCTCACTACGGAGGAGCTTTACTTCAAATAATCCTGTAGCAGGGCTGGATAAACAAATCTATAAACCCAAACCAATGCCAATTTCAGGCTGGGGAAATGCATACAGGAGCCACTCTTTACCAGAGGCAAGGTGCTCTCTCCCAGTATGACCACTTCATATGGAAATATTCATCAGCTCTGGCCATGCTGCAGATTTTCAGACTGTGGTTACTCAGGGCACTATTGCTGGGAAGGGCTTCTCTCAACTAACACCAGGTGAATTAGCCCAGATGAAAGACCCTGACTGCAGAGGGATGTGCTCCCACCATCACAGAGCTGGCACCTTGCTGCCTGCACCATATTTACATTAAATTTAGTGAATCTGTATTCACTCTTCTGCACAGAGGGTTAAAACCTTGAGTATTTCCACGGGGACCTGGCAGAGTGAGCACCGCTACTCCCAGGTCTGCAGGAAGAGGGATCCTGAGCTCGGGCTGCAGGTACAAAATACACACTGCCCAAATCTAAGAATTAATGCCAGAATGTAAACCCAGGGGTAAGATTTGCTGCAGCAAGTTTCCAGCTCTTGGTAGAAAGTCAACCCTCAATGATTTAGGGGGTGAAACCTGAGGAAGAACCTTTTAGGTGCACCATTAGCGTTCAGCCTGTAAACCAGCACTCACTGCCTTAATCATCATCAAGTCAGATTTTGCATTTGCCACATGCAAAAAAACACCACTCCATATTGACCAGATAAGAGTTATTTACGTAACACACTGCAAAAAAAAACCACACTAGCTGAGCTGATTAATCTATATACCCTGAATTGCAAATTAAACTGGTGAGAGTTGTAACTGGTGAGAGTTCTCACTGCTGTGATTCACAGCCCTGTTAACTGGGGGAGAAGCAACACTCGTAGCTCTTCGACATCGGGCTTTTTATCAGCTGAAACTCGAGCTGGGTGAACTCGAAGCAGAGCAGAGGTTTCTGGCAGTTCAGGCATGTAAAACTGGGTGCTGTCAGTACTCGTGCAACAAACACCCCCAACATCAAGCACACCAGGTGCTGAATGCTGCACACCACACTGGCAAGCCTCCCCCACACCCCTCCCAGGAGCCAGCCCATACCTTTCATTAGCTAGAGATAAACTGCTTAAGCAGCTCCTTCACCATGGAGAAGTTTGAGGCATTTAATATGCCAAAATAACTAGGGCATTTGGAGAAACTCATACCAGGGTAACAGCAAACCCCCCCCCTTTACCCTGGCATAAACAGAAATCAATGATAAACTTGAAACTTTAGAGTTTAGAGCACTGCAGAGCAGTTCTCAGCTCCACCCAAGGGTAGTTTGGAGCGCACAGAGTGAGGTTTCAGGCCCTCAGGACCACACTAGGTAAAGAAACACCCACGGTGTGAACACAGGAGCGACTGCTTTGTGCTGCTGGGTGCTGCCACCTAGCACCAGAGACAATGAGATGTTCCTCTGGCTCAGCTGAAGATGCAGGGCCCCAGAAGGGCAGGACTCACAGCGTGCTGCATGCGGACAGCCTCCAGCGGGTAGTCCCCCTTGGCGGTCTCTCCGGAGAGCATGATGCAGTCTGCTCCGTCCAGGACGGCGTTAGCCACATCGCTGCCCTCGGCGCGCGTCGGGCGAGGCTTCTTGATCATGCTCTCCAGCATCTGGAAGAACAAGACCAAAGAAATCAAGACATTGCAGAAGGAATCAGCTGGGTTTTTTTCCACTACTGCACTTCAATATATACATTCTAGATGAGGCTGCATCCTGTCTTCTGCCCTAAATGCCCTAAATTGGCTGGCCATGAGCAGGCAGTGGGCAGCTGCAGCCCAGAAGGCCAATCCCATCCTGGGCTGCATCAAAAGATGCGTTGCCAGCAGGTCCAGAGAGGGGATTCTGCCACTTGACTCTGCTCTGGTGAGACCTCACCTGGAGTATTGTGTGCAGGTCTGGAGCCCTCAATATAAGAAGGACATGGACCTGATGGAGAGGGTCCAGAGGAGGGCCACAAGGATGATCAGGGGGATGGAGCACCTCTGCTACGAGGACAGGCTGAGGGAGCTGGGGTTGTTCAGCCTGGAGAAGAGGAGGCTCCGGGGAGACCTCATAGCAGCCTTCCAGTACCTGAGGGGGGCTACAGGAAGGCTGGGGAGAGCCTGTTTAGAAAGGCCTGCAGTGACAGAACGAGGGGCAATGGCTTCAAGCTGGAGGGGAACAGATTTAGACTGGAGATGAGGAGAGGGTTCTTCACTGTGAGGGTGGTGGAGCACTGGAACAGGTTGCCCAGGGAGGTGGTTGAGGCCCCTTCCCTGGAGATATTCAAGGAGAGGCTCGATGAGGCCCTGGGCAACCTGGTCTAGTTGGGGGTGTCCCTGCTGACTGCGGGG